GCAATTCTGGAATTGCACTGCATTCCAGGCCAGGAAACAATACAAGAATAAAAAAAAAAAAAAAAAAAAAAAGAATTATTTGAAATAACAATGACTGAGAATTTCACCCAAATTATTTATTATCAGACACAAAATACCAAGTGAGATAAATACCAAAAAAGAAAAAAAAAAAACCTAAATTTAGGTATACATGATGGTTAATTTTATGTCAATTTGACTGGGCTGAGGGATGTTCTGATAGCTGATAAAATATTATTTCTGGAGAGTCTATGAATGTATTTCTGAAAGAAATTAGCATCTCAATCAGCAGACTGAGTAACAAAGATCACTTCACCAAAGTGGGTAGGTATCATCTAATCCTTTGAGGGCCTAAATATAATAAAAAAGCAGAGGAAGAGGGAATTACTCCCTCTTCTTGATCTGAGACATCTCTCTTCTCTTGCCATCAGACATCAAAGCCCCTAGTCTTGGGGCCTGAAAACCACAGGACTGAACACCAGCAATTCTTTCCCCAACCCAAGGCCCTCATACATGACCAGGAGTTGCACTATGGGCTCCCCTGGTTCTTAGGCCTTTGGGCTTACACTGAAGTGTACCAGCAGCTTTCCTGCTTCTCCAACTTACAGACAGCAGATTTTGAGACTTGCAGGCTTTCAGAATCACGAGTCAATTTCCATAACAAATATCTATAACATACATAAATAAAATCTTAATCTGTAACTTTGGAAAACTCTGATTAATATAGCATATCATTTTCACAATACAGAAATCTAATATTTAAAAAAAATCCTGAAAGAAGCTAGAGGAAAATGATACGAACAAAGACAAGAACTGTATCTGACTTTTCCTCAGAAACCACACAAGTAAGAAAAGAGTAGAGTGAAATATTTAAAGTGTTGAGAGAAAAAAGTGGCACCATAGAATCCTATACCTCAAAAAATTCTCTCTCAAAAGTGGAGAAGAAATATAAAGACTTTCTCAGATAGGCCAGCCACAGTGGCTCACACCTGTAATCCCAGCACTTTGGGAGGCCAAGGCAGGTGGATCACGAGATCAGGAGTTCGAGACCAGCCTGGCCAACATGGTGAAACCCCGTCTCTACTAAAAATACAAAAATTAGCTAGGCGCTATGGCATGTCCCTATAATCCCAGCTATTGAGGAGGCTGAGGAAGGAGAATCACTTGAACCCAGGAGGCGGAGGTTGCAGTGCGCTGAGATCGCACCATTGCACTCCAGCCTGGGCAACAGAGTGAGGCTCCGTCTCAATTAAAAATTAAACAAATAAATAAAAATAAAAAATAAAAAAGACTTTCTCAGACAAGCAAATATTGAGGCAATGTGTTGCCAGTAAGACCTATTTTGCAAGAAAAGTTAAAAGAAATTCTTAGGAGAAAAGGAAAATGATAAAGGTCAGAAATTCAGATCTACGTAAAGAAAGAAGAGCACTGGAGAAGGAATAAGTGAAGGTAAAGTAAAAACGTTTTTCTTACACTGAATCTAACATGAAAGTTCATTCAAAATAATCATACATATAATTATATATGGATATACATATGCTTATGTGTGCTTATCTTTGTATGCTTCTATATCGGCGAAGTAAATGACAAGATACAAGGGATGGTGAGACAGAGCAGAGACCTCTCTCTTAGGGGCCTACCTCTCTCAGCCTTCACAGAATTAATGAAAGGTAGAACCTTGCTCTGGATTAGACTTTGGCTCAAGGAAATGCTGTGGCTGGTTTGATCTTCTATCCAAACCACTAAAACTTTCTCCATATCAACAATAAGGCTGTTTTGCCTCCTTATTATTCATACATTCCCTGGAGTAACCATTTTCTTCAAGTACTTTTTCTTTGCATTTACAACTTGGCTAACTGGAACAAGAGGCCTGACCTTCAGCCTGTCTTGGCTTTCGGTATGCCTTCCTCACTAAGGTTAATCATTTCCAGCTTTTGATTGAAAGTGAAAGATACATGACTCTTCCTTTCACTTGAACACTTACAGGCCACTATAGGGTTCTCAATTGGCCCAATTTCAATATTGTTGTGCCTCAGAGAATAGGGAGGCCTGAGGAAAAGGAGAGATTGGAGAATAGTCTGTTGGCAAAACAGTCAGAACACACACAGTTATCAGTTAAGTTTGCCATCTTGTTACGGGTGCAGTTTGTGTCTCTCCAAAACAACAGAAACATCAAAGATCACTGATCACAGATCACCATAACAGATATAATGGAAACGTTCAGAAACTTGCCAAAGTGTGGCTAGGCACGGTGGCTCACACCCATAATCCCAGCATTTTGGGAGGCCGAGTTGAGAGGATAGCTTGAGCCCAGGAGTTCAAGACCAGCCTGGGCAATATAATGAGACCCCCAACTCCATTTTTTAATTAAAAATAAAAATAACAAATAATAAATAATAAAATAGAAATTTACCAAAATGTGACATCGAGACACAAAGTGAGCACGTGCTGTTGGAAAAATGGTGCTAACAAACTTGCTCAATGAGGAGCTGCCACAAGCCTTCAATTTGTAGCCAGGCATGGGACAAGGGGGCTGGTCTCCAAACCCTGGGCTGAAGGCATCCTCACCCCTATTATCCCAACGCTTTGAAAGGCTGGGGATGAAGGATTCCTTGAGTCGAGGAGTTCAATACAAGCCTGGGCAAGAGAGACCTCATGTCTACAAAAAATGAAAAAATAAGCTGGTTGTAGTGGTACTTGCCTGTGGCCCCAGGTACTGAAGAGGCTGAGGCAGGAGGATCCCTTGAGCCCAGGAATTCAAGGTGGCAGTGAGCTATGATCACACCACTGCACTCCAGCCTAGCTAATAAAGCAAGATCTCCATCTCAATTTAAAAAAAAAAAAAGGCTGGATGCGGTGGCTCATGCCTGTAATCCCAGCACTTTGGGAAGCCAGGGCAGAAAGACTGCTTGAGCCCAGGAGTTCGAAACCAGCCTGGCAAACAGAACAAGACTCTGTCTTTTTTTTTTAATAATTTGATAAATTTTTTATAATTTTATTTTTTTAAGAAAGACAAACCTTCAATTTGTAAAAAACACAGTATTTGCAAAGCATAATCAAGTGAAGTACCATAAAACAAGCTGTGCTTGTGTATCACTCATCACTTTAAATGTCAATTGTCTAAATGTAGCAATTAAGACAGAGATTGTCAAAGTGGATCAGGAAACAGACTCAATTATATGTTTTCTACAGGGAACCCACTTTAAATATAAAGACACATAGAGATTAAAAGTATATGGATAGAGAATGATACACTATGTTAACACTAACGTAAAGAAAGCAGGAGTAGCTACATTAATTTCAGACAGTAGACTTCAAACCAAGGAAAGCTATCAGGGATAAAGAGAGCTTTACCTAGTAACAAAGGGGTCAATTCTCCAAGAAGACATAACAATCCTGAATGTGTATGCACCTAACAATAGAGCATCAAAATAAGTGAAGCAAAAACTAATAGAGCTATATGGAGAAATAGATGAATCCACTATCAGAAATGGACAGATCCAGGCTGGGCACCATGGCTCACACCTATAATCCCAGCATTTTGTTAGGCCAAGGCAGGAAGATCACATGAGGCCAGGAGTTCAAGACCAGCCTGGGCAACATAATGAGACTCTGTCTGTAGAAAACAAAACTCAGTAAGTAAATAAATAGGTGAGTGCGGTGGACTACACAAGTCGTCTCAGCTACTCAGGAGTCTTAGGAGGGAGGATGACTTGCACATAGGAGTTGAAGGTTGTAGTAAGCTATGTTCATACCACTCCATTCCTGCCTGAACAACAGAGTGAGACCTTGACTTAAAAAAAAAAAAAAAGAAAGAAAGAAACTTAAAAAAAGAGAGAGACAGAAATGCAAGAAATGCACAGATCCAGCAGGCTGAAAATCATTAAGGACATGGGTGAATTCAACATCAGTCAACTGGATATAATGGATAGCTATAGACTATTTCATGCAACAACAGAATATACATTCTTCTCAAGCTCACATAGAATGTTCACCAAGATAGACTACATTCTGGGCCATAAAATACAACCTAATAAATTTAAAAGAATACATTTGTGGGATGCAGCAAATGTATTTAAGGGGAAATCTACAGCATTAAACGCATATATAGTTATGTAAACAAACCCCTCACTAAGCTAAACTACAGGAATTCCTGTTAAACCCCTACAGGAATTCCTGTTAAACCCCAGATATTGTGCTGGGAGATACACACTTTAACCAGCCCTGCATCTAATGCCAGGAGCTACTAAGTAAACAGCATAGAGTCCAACAGTACCATATACCCCACTATTTATCAAACATGAAAGCTGGGGAGAATTCATTTAAGGAGGAGTGGAAAAAACAAATGAACCAAGCAAGAGCTTCTGAAAAACATCTACAACATAAAAGGAGCTTAAGGTTTCTCCATAGTGGAGGAAAAAAAAAACATAAT